TAGAGTCGTGAAGTTGGTTTACCTTAGATTTAAACTCCGATTGTCATGCCTAAATTTTGCAAAATGTTAACATTAGATAGTGTGCGATAATGGCATATCATAGACAATTTTAAAGATAATTAATGAAAATATAAAATCAGTGTTGGCCTAGTGGCTTCAACTTGGGACTCTTATCCCGCGGTCGTAGGTTCGTTCTCTGGCTGGAGACTAATGGACTTTCTATGTACTCCTTTAACGCAAATGTGCTTGCTCGTACGGTGAAGGAAAACATCGTGAGGAAACTGGCATGACTCAAATCCAAAAATCGACCTCATGTGCCACAGACAGAAGGCTGATCACCTACTTATTGTCAATGAAATAAAAATGATCCAAGAAACGAATGCAATCTACATTGAAACCCATTAAAGCCGGAATTACATTAAGAAATTAGTTGCAGGAAAATTTCCCCAAAAAATCGCGCAGGCCACGAAACTCAGTTGCATTACGAAAATTTTAAATTACGAGTACACGTTAAAACTGTTGTCACGTTGTAAAACTAATCTCACGAAATTAATTTCATGCCAATAGTTTCGTAATGTAATTCCGGCTTTAGGTTTGTAGCGCTCCTGGAGTAATAATAGAAAATGTAAAACTTATTAAGATTAAATATGTTATTGTAAGCACATTTCAAACAAACCACTAGAATGTACCTTTATTATTATCGAGAATATATTTTTAATTATTAAGCCAGCTTATCTAAAGATATCTTTAAGGCTCACAAATATGGGACTGGGACACTTGGTGCTTACTTCAGCCAAGGAAAGGTAATTGTGTCCAGAATATACACAGGTAATTTTAATTTACGTTCGTATTAATTACTGTATCAAATGTTGACCAATAAGAATCGAACTGAACGCGTCACCATTTCGGCATTCACTCTTCACTCTCACCTCATTATTTATCAACATTTATGATTACATGAACGTTATTAAGCGCAACCGGGTGGGGGAGTCCCGCTTCCATTCCCAAGTTTAATTAATTTAAAAAATTACATGAACGTTACATTTTATTTTAAGTTTTTATTATATAACATGAAGTGATTGACTAAAACCAAAAACAAACCATGACATGATTCCACTTTTAACTTCTGTTATTCATTAATAAACATAAATTTTGCCAGATTTTATTACAATCGCCAATTGGAAAAATGCCTACCGTTTGTGTACAGTGGATGCAATGCAAATGAAAATAATTTCGAAACAAAATTAGATTGTGAACTGCGTTGTACAGGTAATGTTTTTAACGATTTGAAGTTAATGACACTAATTGTTCTAGGTCTAGTGGCTTGAAAGTGCGACTTTCATCCTGGTTGTAGGTTCGAACCCCGGTTGTGTAATTATGGACCCTTCTATCTGCGCAACACTGGCTCGTACGGAGAAGAAAATCATGGTGAGGAAACATGCCTTAGATACAAAAAAGGTCAAAGGCGTGTGTCAGGCACGGAAGGCCTACTATTTATTAGAGTAAACAAATGATCACAAATCAGATACATAAATAAATAGGTTATAGCGCCAATGGTTTTTTTTGTTAAGATTGTCTTGTTGGTTTACTCAACAATACGATACAAAAAGAGTAAGTATATCTATAGAAAAGAGACGAAATAATTTCTCACCAAACAAGACAACGATAAAAAAACAGTGGCTCTACAACCTTTTTAGGTCTGGGCTTTTTAGATCATTTGTTAATCTAATAGGCAACTTGGTGATGAGCCTCCTGTGCCTGACACGACGTCGACGTTTTCGGTTTAAAGCAAGCCGGTTTCCTCACGAAGTTTTCCTTCACCCTTCTAGCGAATCTTAAATGCGCACATAGAAAGAAAGTCCATTAGTGCACAGCCGGGGATTGAACCTACGACGTCAGGGATGAGAGTCGCACGCTGAAGCCACTAGGCCACCACTGCTTTAAGAAGACAAACATAAGAGGACTCCGAAAACTAGCTTGAGGAGTGAAGAAGAATTAAGAAAATTATCTGTGGATCACGGGTTCTATATTAAAGTCTAAATTAAAATACAGTTTTACCAGTTGCCATTGCATACACCTGTAGGTACATGCTACTCGTAGTCAACCTTATCAATTATTGCTACGCCGGATCGAAAGCTGGATTAACCCCTTGCTACGCACTAAGCTCTAGAAGCGTAGAAATGTAGTATTTGCAATTTTATTGAAATATGAATTGAGACGAAGATTGATAATACTTTTAAATCAGGTGTTACTTCGACTATGAACTCACGTGGAGTTGACCAAGGGCTTTTTTGCCAGTACCAACCTGATGTGGGAGCATGCCTAGCCTTTGAAACAAAGTAAGTTATCACTTACCTATAATATTATCTGTTTATTAATTTAGAAAAAATATAAGTACCATGTAGGCCAACCCTTTGGCCAACCATTTGGCCGCGAATTGCAAGTTCTTACAAAAATATCGTCCAAAACCTGAAATCTTCGTCTAAGAGTGAAAGTTGACAACATAAGGCACAGTAAGTGCCTAATCTACTAAGAATTTTTTTATGCAACATACGTAGATCAGAACAAGATCTCTCCCGACATTACTTAAGCGCTAATTTGAAGTATGCACTGTTTATCACGAAGGACAGTGATTCGAATTTAAATTTGAAGCTAGACTTAGTCGACGCAAACATAGTAAATTTACATAACTAGTAATTCCGGATATAATATATTTTATATCTAGTTAAAGCAGGTATATTTTAATTTCAGATATTATTTCGACATCAATCTAAACACGTGTTCTAAGTTTGTGTATGGAGGCTGTGCGGGTAACACGAATAGATTCGAAACAAAATTCGATTGTATGGCAACATGTGAACGACAGAATTAGTGACATTTTTAAAACTAATGTTTCTATTTACGCGAATATAGTAGATTTTAAGTGGATTAAAGGGTTTTTACTGTTCATAAGATTTGTAAAGTTTGGAAAGTAGACCTATAGTCACTGGTCGATAAATAGTTAATCTTAAAATACCGGCATTGCACTCGCGAGCCCTCTGGCATTGAGAGTGTCCTTGGGCGGCGGTATCAAAAAAATCACAGTATATGATACGGCCTCTGTGCCCCACGTAAAAATCGTATCCTGACGAAATATCCATCCATCACTGATTCTAAAATCATTTCATTGAATGGCCGGGTTTCTAGTGAGTTGCGGAACTTTAAATTATATGGCAATAATATAACGGTAAAGACATATTTTGACTCGACGTATTGCTAAATTTCCTCTATTACGAATTTCATTATGTATGAAGCCATAATAGATTATAAAAGTTAGGAAGAATTATTAATTCCCCAGGCGTATGGTAAGACAGTAAAGCAAGTAATTACTGCGATCCTCAGTCTTAATCCTTGCCAGGACGATGAAAAACTCTGCTAATTAATAAAGGAACCCCTGGATTAATTAGTGAAGATATTCCAGTTCTCTTATTATATGGATTACGTTAGTTAGCGCTTTTATCCTACGGGAGTATCGTTAAAAGTTTCTTGTTTTATTTCGGAGCAATATTCATTACTCATTTAAAAGATGAAAAATATCTTTCATAGAACGGAGTTTGGAAATGTAAAGAAAATATTCTGTTGAAATCGCTCATTAATGTTTTTTTGCAAGGTTCTGGAGTATCTTTTGAACTTCCTAACACAAGCTTAAAGCTTCTAGGATATAATAAACTAGGTATTAACTACAGCGTCGTTCAGATGTAAATTCAAGTTGTTCATTTTGAAAATTATAGGTAGTAATAAATCGCGAATCTAGTCGTTTAAAAACAATACTATATGGTCGATATATTCCTACATATTATGTTTGACACAGAAGATTGAAGCCTAATCTACGTCTGAAAAAGTCAGTTGAACTTCACACAACGTTTCTATATTTTAAAATCAAACAAAGACTCGTGTGAAGGATATAATAAAAAATGCTAATAAAGTTTTTGCGTCGGCCATTTTGCAATGTCAGTAATTGGAGACTAATTTATCGGTTGTACGAGCGAGATTTATTGTTGAAGGATATAACCCATTTTTAACCGAGCAAACAAATCGATATTGCAATCTATTTGACATAGTGTTATGTAGTTCTCATATCATGTTAGTTATCACTATGCGGAAAACATTTATGCAAATATATCGTAGATATGTTTCGGAAAAATAGCTGTTTGATATAAATATTAATTTTATGAAGCAGAATGACACATCATTTACAAGTTTGTTTTATTGTTGATAGTTATCTAATGTTAAAATAATAATAATAATCTAGTGGCGATTTGGTGTCTTGGCCATAGATTGCATCAGTCTCTGTAAGCTGATCAGCCATCTGGCAGTCTGACATCGTGTAGATTTGGATATGAGACACGCTGGTTTCCTTACGATGTTTTCCTTCACGTACGAGCAAGAATAAGATACACACAGATAGTAAGTGCATAGCCTATATCGAACCTACCACCATAGGTTTTAGTGTCGCAAGCTGAATCCACTAGGCCAACACTGCCTTTTAAAAGTAGTAATAAAATAATTTACACAAGGGTTTTGGACCATCTAAGTCATCATCATGAGTCAGCCCCTAAGATACAATTATAAAAAAACCTTCGTGGTCGGATAGATAAAACCTTACCACATAATCTGAAGACACATATATTTTAGTAGAGTACTTCGTTAAATATAAAAATAAAGCACTTAAAGGCTTAAAGGGACTGAAAGCTAGCTTATATATTATATAAATAAGTTTTTTACAATTTTTAAACTTAAATAAGGTAAATAAGTAATGCTCATCCATTTTTTTAAACTTTTATTAAATAAATAAAAATTAATGAAATAAAATAAATGAAGATTCATAAAAATTACAAAAATATAGACGTACCTCACCTAACCAATTTCAACGGCAGTAAATGCGTTACCAAAATATACATTTGTATAAAAATATGTAAATTAAACTTTTAGGTATCAATAATAAGGTATAATATTCAATATCATTTATATTTGGACCCCCCAATCGCTTGCAAAGTAAAAAAGTGTTTTAAAGCGCTAAAAATCTTCGTATAATACTTCACGGAGCAAACTGACGTGTCGGACCTAAATTTCTTGCACCTTATTTTTCTGCCGTCTGAAACAACATTTTGAATTTAAAAAATATAATGACCATTACTCCTCGCTGTGTGCGAGAAGCTCCATTTAGCCGATACTAGGAAGTGGTCTATACCAGGCTAGCACCAAATCAATCGAAAGGTAATTATTAAAAATACGCTTTGTAGACAAGCATATTAAAAAATTAGAGCATTATATTCAAGAAAAAAATGCTTGGAAACATGCTGGTCCTACTCCATAGGACAATTAAACTAGACAAAATCAAATGGTTGCTAAACTAGTTATATAGGTTTATATATTCTTTTAGTAAAGTTTAAAATTCTGTAAAGATAGTGATGTGGAGAAAAAAAAAAGTTTTTTGACAACTTTGACGTAACTCACACACTGTTTGACTGTATGACAATTGACAAGGCCTGTATTCACTTTGATTAGTGCGAGTGCAAGTGATTAGTAATAGTCATTGATTAGTGCAGGGGCCTTAGTCAAGATGCCTTAACAGTAGTGTATGTAGAAAGTCGAAAACTTAATTTGTATGGAAATGACAGTTCGTGTCGAAAAGTTTTCATACAAATTTAGTTTTTGACGTTCTACATACACTACTGTTAAGGCATCTTGACTAAGGCCCCTGGTGTGTAGTGCAAGTAGAGTCCAATTATTGTTTAGTGGCTCTGTTAAGTAAATTCAGTTGTCATATTGTCGAGTGAGGGTGGAGGGAGGGCGCACGCAACGTCACTACTCGCAGTTCACTCGCAAAAAAATAGAACACGCTTCTAATCACTTTACTACGCAGCCAACTAATCACCTGCACTAATCAGTCGCTGTCCACACTTGTTTTCTCCTAATCACTAATCACCTGCACTAATCACTTGCACTAATTACTAATCAAAGTGTATACAGGCCTACAATTTTTTCTTTTTTTTTGTACAGAATAATGTAAAATCTTTAGTTGCAATATTTGTGAATATGCGAGCACCATGTAGCTACATAATAATTTAATAATCTACTGCAATGTTTTTTATAACACCCTGCGCCTTTTTATTTTAGTATAGTCGTTTTTTTTTCTAGGTACATGGTCTTCACATAATATAACTATCAAATGTAAACAATATATTGTAAAAACTATGTTAAAAGAGTAACTCCATACTCTTTTAAAATAGTTCCATTCCATTCCCATTCTTCTTCATATGAAACTATCTTTTGGAAGGGACAACGAGTGATTTATTAAAATAGTTTAACTTGTAATTTTTACTTTCAAAAGTGCCTTTTTAATAGGCCTAATTGAAATAAATGCTTTGACTTTGGCTATTGATATTAATTTAAATTATTATAAATTACAAAAAAAAACTCCACAAAAATAAGTTCAAGTTGGCATTTAATATTAAGGACTCAAATAAAAGTGTGTATCATTTCTGTGTTAAGTAACTTTAACTGTTAGGTACTTCAACACCAAGCCATATCTCAGTCAACATAATATCGGTAGGTAAGTCCCAAATTCTAATAAAGAAATCCTAATAATAAACCTAAAGTTATATCCTGGATAATTCTGATATAAAAATGACTTTCAACTGACATAGCCGAACAAGATTACCATATATATGTTATGCTGGATGTAAACCAAAAATAAAACAATAGAACATTGAATTGACAAGCAATCAGCGGAAAAAATGCCTAAACCGTATAAACTAATAAATAAAAGATTTTATTGATATATCATATACGTATATAAAAACAACGATGGATTATTATTGGACTGACATGTTTTTTTTTATTTGAAAGATAATCTTGTGGCATTACATTTTAAATAGGATTTCTGGCATATGACTGCCACGGCTGGCTCGGATATAGTCCAATCTGGACGTCCAATTTTCGATGGCTTTTTTTTAACACCAAATGGTCAAGCTTTGTGGCTTATCCGCATAGACCATTGTCTTTACATATAGTACGGGGGGTGCCCAGCCGTTTGAAATTTGGTCAGCGATTTTGTGGTGTCTTCCTTCTTGCTTTCATTTAAAATTCCGCATTAAAACGAAAAATTAAAAATTACCTTCTTATAATGCAATGCTTTATCATACTGCCTCTTTTTTAAGCTAAAAAGAAAATTCTGGCAAATTCTTTTAGTTTTTATATTTAAATAAATAATATTAAAATTACAGACATTCTAAAATACTTGGATGTTAAAATGCCTGGCGTCACATAGTTAGCAATGTGAAAAATTTGGGCCAATAAAAAAGTATGTCAGGTAGATTATTTAAAAAGAAAATTAAAAATTACGTTCTTGCGTTTACATGGACGATGTGCGAATAAGGCAATACAAAATCATACCTAAAATTCTTTTCAAAACGTTGCTACCTCCCGTAAATAGCCCCAAAGAAAATCTAGCGGTGTTAAATCACAAGATTTTCCGGCCCTGCGCCAAATCACAAGCCCAAAAAAAAAAAAAAAGGGGCCCCCCAAAACCCCCCCCAAAAAATCGATTGTGGCACGACCTTTGTGACATGTTGCGCCGTCTTGTTGAAACCACAGCTCTTGGACATCATGATTGTTCAATTCAGGAATGAAAAAGTTAGTAATCATGTCTCTATACCGATCACCATTGACTGTAACGTTCTGGCCATTATCGTTTTTGAAGAAGTATGGACCAATGCTGCCACCAGCCCATAAAGCGCACCAAACAGTCAGTTTTTCTGGATGTTTCGACATACACTTGAGGATTAGCTTTACTCCAAATGCGGCAGTTTTGTTTGTTGACGTAGCTATTCAACCAGAAGTGCGCTTCATCGCTAAACAAAATTTGCTTATGAAAATCGGGAAAAACGGACGGGAAAATTGGACGTCCAGATTGGACTATAATCTATATCCGAGCCAGCCGTGGCAGTCATATGCCAGAAATCATATTTAAAATATAATGCCACAAGATTATCTTTCAAATAAAAAAAAATCATGTCAGTCAAATAATCCATCTTGTTTCATTGCCAATTTAAAGTTCTAAGACTTATTCTAATGATATAACATCTAACACAACCTCATTCGTTTACCATTTGGCAGACCTCACCACTCTTTTTCATTTACCATCAAGTTTTTTTTGTGAAAACATGTCAATATAATATAAATTCAACTAAATAATAATAATTGTTCATATGTCGCTGTATGTCGAAATAATTTTGAAACCCTGTATTATGTCCCAATAACCCAGTAATAGGAATGGTCATTCATGGGATATTTACTTGTCCTTACCATCTCGTAGCGCATCTCCTCGTTGATTCGCTCGCAGAGATCTGCCGGTATGTCGGTCTCCGCTACGTCTTGTAAAACGTACTTTAATTGTGATGTTCTGGAATAATTTATTTTTATTAAGTATTTTAAAAAAAATTATAGTTATTGGAAAGGAGTATGCTTAACGTTAAAAAATCAGACAGATTAAAAAACTGGGACATAAGAGACAAGACAAAAATCATAGACATTAACCTCGAAAATAAAAAGACTTAAGTGGACACAGGATAACAGGAAAAGACAAATGGAGTAAAATTGTGACACAATGGCACCGTAGGGAAGGCAAAAGGAGTAGAGGAAGACCACAAAAAGATGGGTAGACGACATCAGACAAGTGGCAGGAGTGATGTGGAACAGAGTGGCGCAAGAAAGATATGAAAGGAAAAGGTGGCAAACAGATCTGCAGAAATCAAGCAAGATCCAAATATTAGCATAGTTTTTTTTCAACCTTCTTATATATAGTTTAAAATATTAGATCTTATCTATGTTTATGTGTGTACCTCAGTCGATCTGAATAAAAGGCTATATTATTATTATTATTATTATTATAAGTAAATTTTGACGTCAACAAGGGCGTGTTAAGGTTCGTAAAACTTTACCCAAAAGTAAATATTCATGAGTTTTGTTCTTGAATTAAAATTGGATAAACAAGTCATAATTACGAAACGGGATTGCATGATTTTTTTAACGGTATAATATAAAATAAGGGACAAAAAGTAATCGCATTTAAGCCATAGGAGGGTAATCCACCCTATGACCTCTTGGTTCACGCTTGGTCCTTTGTCCTTGTTATATGAGTAAATATAATCGACATATAAAATAAATGATAAGATTATTTAGTCTTATTAACACATATTCATTCATTCATTCGCATATTCAAAGAACTTGTACTTTGCCGGATTAAAAAGCTATTTGAAAAAAAAAAACAAAATTAACACTTCGAAAAGTGACATTGAAATCAATATTTAAAATTCAACATTATTATTAGCACAAGGAACATTATTACATGATTTATAATAACAGGTTTAATTTTTTTATATAATCTATAGGTGTGTTCAGTAAATACACTAAAAAGGAAGAGTACGATTGCCTATTTTTATTTATAAACCTGACTTTTCTATTTTTTATTATAGTAATTTAATTAAATATTAAATCACATGAGGGTTTTTAATCCTTCTAAATTATTTACGTAAATCAGTCATGTATCGTAAACCTTCTGATTATAATACAAATTACCAGCAAATAGATATATTTAATGAACAAAAACAAAAAATAACTGAAAATTGTTTTAGAAATAATTTAAAAAATATCTTTCATTAATAATGTTTGTTTTTGTTTTATTTTTATGTATAAATCGGTAAAAATTGTTAACTGTGCTTTATGTTTATGTTTGAATGTGTATTCCGTTTTTGGCTTTTATGTATAATGTAATTGTTTGGATATTGTTTAGTGAGTAGCTGTAGGAATACTGTTGAGCAAATAAATAAACAAGAGATGCGGGTATAGGCTCACGGTATGTGGAATGAAATGAGCACCTACAATTGATATATAAGAAAACAACAATAAGTTCATCAATTAAAAATTCTTATATTAAGGCACAATCTGTATGATATACTAACTACTGCAGTGCGTCCATTGTAAAGCAGAGGTCACACCGTGTAACGGGCGGCTATTCATTTTGGCGGCACAAAATATTGTTGCGGCCAACACGCGCGCATGCAATTTATACTCGCCGGGTTACAACGCTACATTGGCTTACGTTTTATTAATTAAACATATGCTGGGAGTTTTAAACCTTCTGTTTAATCCTCTTTAGATTGAAGTTGTTAAATTTAACTGTGGTGTAAATAACGCGAATGTATTATCTAGTTACGTTCAGTTTAATTTTATCTGCTTTTTTTAAACAGGATATGCTTTAGTTCCATAATTATCATAAGTCAGCCATCTCAGTAGACATAAAAACAACGGATGAAGTAAAAGTCTTTAGACATAAATTAAAAATAAGCAAAAAATTCCGAAAAAGAAAATGTACAAATGGCGCCAAAACGCTGATTACCGCAATGTGCGCATGCGCGTGGCAGCTGCTGCCAAAAAATTGCAATATTATGTCATAGATTTGACGCATCTCGTATATTCTATAGTCTATTTGCAAAAATATCATGGATCCTCTTTGGTGACAGTAGTAGCACATTATTCTGTATCGTAATGAAACAAATGAATTGATAGACTTCAAACATAATTGTGTGTAAAATAAATAAGTTGTTGTAAATGTACAACATATTCCGACTTTAAATATTATTATTAGGTATATATATATATATATATTTTTTTGAACTGTTTTTGTATACAGCTTTGTGATCAGTATAAAAATTATATGATATTCAGAACTTACTGTATATAAATAAGCATATAGGCACTTGTAGCTCGCCGGGCTAAGTACGGTGCGTCTTCTCTGCCGCCATAATTGTATTCTATTGCTTCTTGCTTCGTACAACGAGAGACCACGTCATCGTCAAACTTACACCACTGTAAAAATAATTATCTTTTAGTTCTGTAAGGAGAATATTCTCCCTAATTTTGTCTTTGGGTTACGCGAGTACATATTTAAATAAAATTTTTACTTAATGAAAACAAAAGACAATATTATTTTATATTGGACAAATCACAGAACCTTCCCATCGCCTTTAGGATTTATGAAAACTACGTAGTGTCCACCATGATTGTCTCCCGAGTGGACTAATACGGCATGCAATGTGTAGTGCGCAGGAGTGGCTGGAATTTCTTTCAGGTACGCGTTTAAATTCAATGCTTCGTAGAATTCAAACCTGCAAATTCATAAACCTTATGATGAATGAACTTTATGGAATAAATAGTTTCGAAGGGCTTTTGATCTTTGAATTTTGTATAAACAAAAAATATAAAGTGAGTTCAATCACAAAACGTACAAATTAAATTATCGGCAAATTTTTCAGGTAGCATTTTATAGATACAAATCTTTTACTTCCAGGATTCAAGATTTAAGTAAGGCTTACTTCGAAAGGCAATTTGCACTTATTATTAATTAAAAACAGTTACAAAGCTTAATAGTTTATTTGTTGGAAACATAAACAAAGATAAGTTTTTCTTCACACTAACAAATTTACAATTTATTAACAAAGACGGATCTAAGGGCTCCCACACAAAACTTAATCTCTCGCATATCCGCGACCTCCCCCCCCCCCCCCTTTCCCCCCCCCAAAAGCCCCCCCCCCCCCCCCCCCCCCTTTTTTTTTTTAAAAAAATTTTTTTTTTTTTTTTTTTTTTTTTTTTTTTTTTTTTCCCCTCCCCCCCCCCCCCCACAAAAAAAAAAAATTAAAAAAAAAAAATTAATTAAAAACATCGGGGGGGGGCGGGGTCGTTTATTTCCCACCACACTCCAAAACCCCAAAAAAAAATAACCCCCCCCCCCCTTTTTTTTTTTTTTTTTTTTTTTTTCACCCCCCCCCCCTCCTCTTTTTTCCCCCCCCCCCCCCCCCCCCCCCCCCCCCCCCCCCCCCCCCCCCCCCGGTGGGGGGGCCCCCCCCCCCCTTCGGTTTTCCCCCCCCCCCCCCTCCCCTTTTTTTCCCCCCCCCCCCCCCCCCGGTTTTTGGGATCTGCGAAGTCGGGCGGAGGGGGCCCGAGGGGGGCCCGCCCCCCTCCCCCCCCCCCCCTTTCCGGTTTTTCCCCTCCCCCGTGGGGGCCCCTTTTTCCCCCCCCTGGGAGCGTCCGTGGAAAAAGGGGGGGGGGGGCCCCCCCCCCCCCCTCTTTTTTTTTTTTAATTTTTTTTATATTTTTTTTTTTTTTTTTTTTTTTTTTTTTTTCCCCCCCCCCCCCCCCTTGGGTTGAAAAAAAAAAAAAAAAAAAAAAAAAAAAAAAAAAGAGGGGGGGGGGGGGGGGGGGGGGGGTTTTTTGGCCCTTTTTTTTTTTTAATATAAAAAACCCCACCCCCCTTTTTTTTTTTTTTTTTTTTTCCTTTTAACCCCTTTCTCCTTTTTTTTCCCCCCCTCCCCCCCCCCCCCCCCCCCCCCCCCCCCCCCCCCCCCCCGGGGGGGGGGCCGGCGGGCCGGTTGCCCCCCCCTTTCCCCCCCCCCTTTTTCCCCCCCCTTTTTTTCCCCCTTTTTTTTTTTTTTTTTTTTTCCCTTCATATATAAAATTCTCGTGTCGCGGTGTTTGTGGTTAAACTCCTCCGAAACGGCTCGACCGATTCTCATGAAATTTTGTGTGCATATTGGGTATGTCTGAGAATCGGACAACATCTATTTTTCATCCCCTAAATGTTAAGGGTAGTCCACCCCTAAATATTTTTTATTTTATTTTTAGATATTTTTTTCTGTTTTTATTTTTTTATGATACAGCATTAAAAATACATACAAACCCTAACTTTCACCCTTCTACGATCAACCCCTATTTTTTTATTATAAATGATATACATGGCAAAACGACGTTTGCCCGGTCAGCTAGTAATATATAAATTTAGTATTACATAAAGCATATAAGGATTTGGAAGCTACTTGACTAGCTTTGTCACGAGTTTTACAGAACGCTAACATTTGGGTCATATTATATTATATTAATAATAATCAATCGAAAAACTTGGACTTTTCATACAAATAATTTCAACTGACGAAAAAGAATATATTCTTAACATATTTTAACACCAGAAATGTAAATATACGATGCTTTGTGTACAAATAAATTCAATCTGCAGTTACTGGTAACAGAGATCGATTCGAGTAACATATTCAAGAGCACTCTGGAAAAACTTTAAAGATTCCAATATTCCAACAGCGAAATAAATTGTAATTTTTTCCTACTCTCTCTTATTAATCGGCAGCTCATGTCTGGGTCAGTCAGCGACAAAGCATCTCTGCTTAGAGTGGACTAAATGTTTCCACCGGTTTCTCTCCAGCGCCTCTCTTAGTGACAGTGTACAGTTTTGAGGACGTTGAGTCTTTCACTTGACCGGTCCACCGTTGTGATCGGTCACATCTAGTTGCTTTCTGTGTTACCGAGCACAATCAGTTTTTCCAAGTTCTCATTGCCGCTGCGTCTTGTATGGCCGAAATAAGATACGATTCGCAGTAGGCATATGGTAGACAGACGAGTCCGTACGCAGAGTTGAGTCAGGATCGATGTATTGATGCGCTTCGCAGGCCACTGTATTCTGAGCATTCACCGCCAGCACCACATATCGATCAATATAGGAATATATATTCATATCAAGGCATCGATCCTTTGCCTTTCTCGAGCCAAAATAGTCCATGTTTCTACTCCATACAGGAAAATAGAGAACACTACAGCCCGTATGAGTCTAATTTCGGGTTTGATACCAATTCCTCTTTTCTTCCAGATGTTGCCTAAACGAGGCATCTTTAGCCATGCCGATTCGCCTTTTTATCTCGGGGACAGGGCTGCCGTCGAGACTTGGGATCCGAGATACATAAAGCGGTCTACGATATTGATGCCAGGAATGTTGCAAGTGACACATGGAAGCTTTCTGGCTCGATCTACTAACATCAGCTTAGTTTTTGCTTTATTTACTGCGGGACCTATGTTCCTACTAGCTCGAGTTTTTGGAACAGTTCTACCATATCTTCCATGGATGTTTCCAGAAGAACTGTGTCGCCGGCATACCGTAAGTTTGCTATTCTCTTTCCGCCCATTGGAAAACCCTTCTCTCAATTGTCCATTGTCTTCCGGATAACGTACTCTCAACCCTCAACCCTGTCTCACACCTTTTTTGGTTTGGAACATATTGTAGTATTCAGTGCCCATCCTGATGATAGAATGGTTTTCGATGTACAAATTCTGTATTAAAGCTACGAACAGGAACTCCCATTTAGAACCTTCCATAGTTTATCCCATTGTACATAGTCAAAGGCATTTGTGTAGTGAACGAAGCATAAGATCACGGGGGTGTTGAATTCTTTACTCTTTTCGATGATTTGGCTAATGTTAAGGATTTGTTCCCGCCTTGCTTTGCCTTTAACGAAGCCTGCCTGCTCCTCAGGTATCTGTTGGGTAAGGTAGTAATTTGTTCCTACAACCTCTAGGTGTTATAAAATTACGAGTTACGATGTTCTATAAAAATACCTCATAGAATTAAATTCAAATATGGAACATCCGGGTTCGACACTTAAATTAACAAAGTGGTTATTGACAGGTGGAAGTACCTGTCATTAAACTTAACGGAAGTGTCGCTCTGCGGGTCGTATTGAAATCTCATCAAGTGCAAGTGAAGTATGGGAGGAAATTCGTCAAACAGAACGCCTTTGTCAGCCTCCTGGAGGCCATGTTCCCCTGCATCGTACTTGTTGTCGCCATCTAGCAGTTCTGTGCTGATGTAGTCTTTGAATGATTCGTAAACTGTAAACATATTTTTAATTCATTCTCAAACAAGACATTAATTATTTGTAGTACCTACAACCATAATCTTCCAATTTCTTCATTTTTTTCCTTGATAATTTTAAAAATAAATCAGTAGCGCTAAAACATTTTTTAGGTCGTGGCCTCAGATTTCGGAATCTCTTCATATCATTTTTTTAAATCTAATAGGCAAGTAGGTGATCAGCCTCCAGTGCCTGACACACGCCGTCGACTTTTTGGGTCTAAGACATGTCGGTTTCCTCACGATGTATTCCTTCACCGTTCGAGTAAATGTTAAATGCGCACATAGAAAGAAAGTCCATTGGTGCACAGCCGGGGATTGAACCTATGCCCTCAGGTATGAGAGTCGCACGCTGAAGCCACTAGGCCAACACTGCTCCTTGATAATTTAAAATTAATAAAAAAAAGAATACAAAGCTTACCAACTTTACACCATGTAGGTACGGTGTCTAATATGACAAATACTAATACTCGATGACGATAGCGGGTGTCAGGCACTGGGGCCTGGCACTCAGGCTGATCACTTACTTGCCAGTTCCAAAAAATACCACAGCTTTTTTGTTTAAAATATAATAATAAAGCCATGTATTTAAACTTTTTTACTGTAAACTTTAACGTTAAAATAAACTCACTGTCTTTTTTTCCCTTGACACTTAGCTGAATATCATAAAAAGTCTCGACGCAAGCACTAGTGCAGTTCACATGCCTGCACTTGATGAATGAAGTCATTTTGCCCTCAAAAAATTTCGGAATAGTGCCTTCAACTGCAGTACACTTCATCTTGTTCTCTAGTTTATCAATAAGTACCTTTAACAAAATGTTTTAAATTGGCCTTATTATAAAATGCGTAGTAAGTTATGGGCATACCATGGTAACCATAGTAACGACATTTTTAAGTCACCCAGCGTTTGCATAGGCCTGAACGGACGAGTATATTAAAAGGATATATAAGCTTAATCGTGATAATTTAATATCGTATTAATATTATATACTGTATATGTAAAGTATATAGTGGAACAGTACTTTTATAAAAATGCATACGTCATGTGAATTTATTTTTTATAGAACGGGGTGGCAACGCGCAGGAGGCTCACCTGATGTTAAGTAATACCGCCGCCCATGGACACTCTTAATGCCAGAGGGCTCGCGAGAGCGTTGCCGGCTCTTTTCTCGACGGACCCTAAGTCGAATTGGTTCGGAAATACTTCAGTGGGTAGCTGGTTATTATTCCTTTCCTGCATATATATTAGATGCGGGTAGGACGATTATTATAATTATTAAGTAAGTGAAGGTAGGTTTCGTCTGTTTATTTATATTCATTAAGTATATAGTGTAAAGGGCTAATATAATGTGCTTTTTATTTAATTTGATTATTATAATTACATATTGTTTAAATTAACTAAATAAATACGACCACATCGTAAGATCACGCTTCATGACCAAGTTTTTATTATGTTCAGTTGTTTTTCTTTAAAAATAAAACCAAATCTCCCTTCCCTTCCAAATGTAATTTTAATCCCGTTATATTATGTAGTTCGGCGTATATATGTATAATGTGTATATGTGTAATCTGCAAGTTAATATCATATTCACACTGTCAACTGAGCGTCGCCATTGTCAAACTTACCCGTAGAAATTCCTGAACGTCATGTTGCATAAATGAATCCAAAGTCTCCCAGCCGAAACTTTTAGTCAGTTTCTTGGTAGCGACAGGTTTGTCTGAGAACTGCAGATCGTAGAAAACTCGTTGTAGCGCAAAAGCGACGGATCTTGAACTATCGTCGCCAACAGTCGGTATTTTGTAAACGGCTTTTCGTAACACATTTGTGAAGAATAAAGTTTGTAAAAGGGAATTCATGTAGCATGTCGCCCCTTGATTTTTGAGACCTGTAAATGTGAGTATGAGAAGTGAATATGTATTCGCGTTTATTTTGTACATTTCTTTCTTCAAGAGTATACGCTTACAAAGTCATTAATACTAAATACATGAACTATATACACTTTTAATAGCTGTCATTTATTTATAGCCAGATAAAAAGGTTTCCCTGTTATAAATCAATTCAAAATCATTTATATATAGTTAACGCAATACACTTATGAACGTCAAAAAGAAATACGTATTAAATGCTTCTAATTTTAAATTTACTGCCAGTTCTCAAGGGCGTACAACGGAAGAGAAGAACTGATAATAAACTCTCCGCCACTCTTTTTAATCTCCAAGTTTTTTGTTTAACACAATGTTTGTAAGGTGCTGCAACTATTACACCATGACATCTTAAGAAATTAATAGTTAATTAATAATAATAAAATAAATTAAAAACAAAGATTTGTCCTCTATCAGCAGGAGGCATGGTGAAATAGGAGTACGCACTGACATTCTCGTGGGAACAATACGCAATAATTTTAGACGTACAAAATAATTATTTTTGAAGATTGTTATTAGAATTAAAACAACTTTTCACATTAGTTCACGTTAATTCTTTTCGTAAAAGACCCATAAAATTGCGCATTCAACCAGCTAACGAATCGGTAACTTTAGATATTGTTTAAAAATTGTACCTGTGACCTGACACCAAAAACATCAGTGACCAATAAGAAATGTTAATTAAACAAGAACTCTTTACCAACATAACCAGTATGTTTCTTCGAGTCCCAAGACACTCCATGTGGTGCTTCAGCTATCACATGCGCCTCAATGGTGATGGAGTCGTCTTTCACAAAGCCCTTCTCTTCATCCATAAGGTCTTTCCAGGATATGAAGTGAGCGAAACCCCAATCATCCTCTTTACTATAAGTATTAAATTAAATTTGATTTCGTACCATTCTATTATTGGAAATTAAATTCGTCATGCTTATATTTTCAAAGTAGTGTTTGCCTTGTAAACATACGGCTCTCAACCCTGAGGTAGTGAGTTCAAACCCCGATTGTTCCCAATGGCTTTTTTATGTCCGCTATTAACAATCGTACAGTAACTGTAAGAACGGCAGTTCTGTGCCTGACAGAAGACTAGACGCTTGTTTTTAAAATAAAAATAATAGACAAAACTAAATATAATCTAAGGCATATTAAGTTAGTTTTAGGTCACTAAAGACATCACGCACTGACTCCAAGACTTTCTCACCGTTGTCTTCGCCGTATTCTGGGTATCTACTGGCCCAAGATCTCTAATGAGCAACTTTGGGAGCGCTGCCGAGACACCCCGAAATGCATAGGCCATACACTCCGAAGGGATCCCAATAATATTCCCAAGCAGGCGCTTGATTGGAACCCGCAAGGAAAGCGGAAGCGCGGCCATCCCAAGCAAACCTGGCGTACTGCAGATGAGGTAAAGGGAGCCGGAAAGAGTTGGAGCGAGGTGAAATACGAGATACAAGAACGAACATGATGGAGACTCACTGTGTACGCCCTCTGGCCTATCTAGGGGTTATAGGACATCAAGTCAAGTTAGTCATATTAAGGGTTATAATGTCGACGAAAAAATTACGTAATTACCGAGATGCGAAAACAATGCAAAACCGAAAGATAAGAGAGAAGGGCTTATCAATGTCTATATAACTGAAAACTGATCTAATATGTAAAAATAAATAAACAATTACGTTAGGACTTTTTCTTACTGTTAGTTCTACAAACATACGTTCTTCATTGACGTGTGTATCATAGGTACTAAAAATTAGATCACGTAATACTTACCAATGGTACATGTGATGCAGCTTCCTACATAGATGCTCTTCATCCGGCTTATACGTCAACAACTTAAGCTCCCCCAGCCCGTAGCATGACCAACCAGGTATACTGCAGTCCCCATTGCACTGCAGAAAGATTCCAAGTGCTTTTTGCTGTTGTCTTTCTGGAGTGCTTGTATTGCGGACAAGGACCAGTATCCTCCATGGCAGACATCGTACGAAGCAAGGCGGGGAAAGAACTTGTTCTTTTAGCTGGCTTAAGTTTGTGACTGTAAAACGGAAGGTGGCTTCGGAGCGAGCGATGTCAATATCTTCAGTCGATGCCTCCTGTAATTCGGTCGTACGTTTCGTATTAAGACCTATTAAATCATATTAATCATAAAAAAAGTTTATTATTTTAAATTTTTAATTGGCTATAAATCAAAGAGGAATTTGGATAAATATGGCAATTATGTAAAAAAATCAAAAATTATAATCATTTATTAAACACGTAAATTAAAAGAAAAATGCACAACAGTATGTCTATTATTAATTTTGTATTGTAATGTTTTACAAAATCATCAAATTGGTTTTTTTGCGTAATTTAAAAATATTTTACCGTATGGGCATGCTCTGTATGAGCAGTTTCTGGACAGGCGCTTTCAAGCATTTTACCTCAATGGCTAGGAAACTAAAACAGCTAAAACAACTAACTAAAACATAATAGCAAATACAAAAAGGACAGTGACAATTTAAATTCACATTATTTGACGATGTAAATGTTTGTTGTATAAAAATGTAAATACAAGAATTTTGATTTGTTTTGAACGATGATATATGCTGTCATTGTTTGCTGTAGTTGTCAATTTGAGTTATTCTAAATTCAAAGAGTTCGAAGATCTAAGATCTGACTGAAAAAGGTTTAATGTAATGTTAATGTAATCATAATAGCAAAAATGTATAGTAGGGGGCCTCTTAGCCTAGCGGTCTTATTAAGTGGCAGCTAGGTGAGGGGTACCGGGTTCAATTCCCGGTTCGAGGGCAAGTTTTAATTTAATTTAAATTTGTTCTCGGCCTTTGGGATTGTTGTGCGGTACCGGGCGAGTGCCTAAACCGTACATGGAGGACACGATCGAAGTTCTAAGGCAAGCACGAATTATAAAAAATCTTATACTTGACGCTGGCTAATGCACAAACCGTGCCAGAGCCATAAAAAAAATAGTAATTCTTTACTTTATATTTTAATAATCAATTTACTTCACCACAATTATCAAGAATATATGATTAAAATCCTTTACAGAAAAAAACATAAAATAATTATTTATATTCACGTTATATTTTTATCGAATTTTCACTCTCAAATTGAATTTAATTGTGAACATTCAGACACATATTTCATAGGCTACTGAAATGTGTATATTAAAAGGTAATAATTATTTAAAATGTAAAATCGATTATGTAACGTTTCTTTCGATCGACGATTTGTAACGTTTCTTTCGATCCACAGATGGCGCTAGATGTCGATGTTGTTGTGTGCTGCCGATAATGCAGAACTATTCTTGTGGTTTGGCGGGAAACACTGCGTTTATAAAATAAAATTGTGTTTAATAGCGACAGCTGTTAATTGTAAATTCGCTTATTTATAATTAAAATTATACACATCATCACGTAAACATAACGTATATTGTGAAAGTGTAAAAATATAGAATGGGAGGTTGAAATGAGGTAAGACTGATTCTTTTATTATAATTATTATAGTAGCGATAACTAAGAATATAATAATAATAATAAAAACTTGACAAAAGGGTTTGTGTCAGAATTCATATATCGCTAGTCCCCACACTAGGTGACTACACTAACACGTGGTGAAGTATTTGTGCTGTACCTACTCCTGTGTATAATTTGTTTGTAAGTTAGTCTATATTTCTTCACATTGATCAACTTTAACGACGAAATGTAGATATTCAATTTTTTTTCTTCAGTTGCAGAAAGCGTTTTACTCTATCTAATCAACCATACCTGCGCCGTTACTAATGAAGTAACGAGACAGTAAGTATGCGGTGGAAGTTTCTCGACTCAGCGGCCAAGATTTTGAGTTGCAGAGCCAGAGAGTGAGTAATTGTCTTTTTTTATAAATGACTAGCTGGCCTGGCGAACATCGTACCGCCTAACAGTCGATTCTTTATTTTTTTTAAATACTTATTCTGCTATTCGGGACACCGGTCTAGCTAGTAAGATAAAAAAAAGAAAGTTGATAAGACAACAAATACATTATGTCAAAAAATTAAAATTTACCTTCCCGGAACCCCTCCACTAACACTTGAACTTTATGATATGGTATTAAAGTTCAAATTGACTTTTAAGTATTATTACGAATATTTTGTATGGGAATATAGAAAAGTGTTGTCTTTAGACATTTTCACTCAATTTTTTTTAATTTTTCTCTTCGTAAGAACCATTTAAAAGGCGCCCGGCCTTCGTTACTTCCAACAAAACGGAATATTATAAAGAAAATAATCAGAAAAATCGGTCTAGCCGTTTTCATGTTATGTCGTGACAACGGAAAAGAGGGTTTCATTTTCATGACGCGGACCAACCGCCGGGCTGGGTTGGTGTACCAACCCCCCCACAACTTTCCCTCGGTCGTGGGTCGGGTTCGTGTCCACCATTTTTTTATATATATATATAGATATATATATAATATATAGATATAATATTCCTTTATCGTATTTTCTGTGTAGCATTTTTTTTATTTAATTTCAAATATATACTTAATACTTTGTTGCTAAGATTTGACGTGTTTTAAGAAAAAAAATCGTTATTTTTGTCGAACGTCACAGAACGATTATCTGTTTGAGTGAAACCTTGAAATATGATTTCAAAACAACTTTATAACATTAATTATATATCTCAATAAAACACGAATTTTCAGGGCGAAGTTAATAGGTTCTTAATGATATCTAGGAATATTTATAAAACACTATTTTTACGCTTTTGGGATAAAAGTGTAAATACTATAGTTACAATGCTTAGTTATCCTCAATATAAAACGTGGACTAAAGATTAAGAAGTACTGTATTCGTTACTATGGTTACCATTATTCTTATATGCATTACACCGTTACCATGGTAACAAATATGGTGCTAACTTTCCGCCGAGTATCTTTTATCTAACATTGATTAAACCAATATCAAACAGGGCATAATTTAAAAAATATAATATCTATTGGACGCAAATTTAATAATATAAATAAGTAAATATTATATTAAATGTAGCTGTGTTTTCTGCTCTACGCAAACTTAATAACCGGGTACAGTTGCCCGGATATTAATTAAATCCGGAGTCATCTTGCGAGGACATTATTCAATGTTTGGAGATTGACAGGCTAACTGGGTCCTTAATTAAAATTTGAACTCAAATAATTTTATTTGAATGATACGGAGCAAATTGAGCAATCTTAGTAAACTTAATTAGTGTTATTGAGTGATTTTTGTACTATCTTTGATATCTTAATTCTTAAGTTTATTTTAACGTTTATACAAAACCTTATGAGCATTGAAATGTTTATATCTCAATAAGACATATGCGACAACAGCAATTATTAAAACAACGTAATTTATTGTTGTACAAGGATTGATTTAATTAAATAAATTTAATTAATAAAAAATTTCGTCACATTGATAATATTGTAAAAACCGTCAACGTTTTTAAAGATAAGTTATTAAACGAATGGGAAAGTTTAAAAAAGACGCACTAACAAAGAGGCTAAAGCTATTCGTATAGTCACTTTGCTTGGTTAAGTATTTTTAGTAGTAAAACTTATATAACGTACCTGCATACTTACGAGCCGCAGAGTTGGCTAAGGCCCGTATTGTTAAAGGTATCTCAAGTCACAATCTCCGCTTGAGCGCTGTCAAATATGTCAAGATTTGCAAGCTCTACGTTTGACTGACGTTCTAGAATACAGACCTGAGAGGCTTACCCTAATCTCAATTCTTAAAAGGCCGGCAACGCACTCGCAGGCCTTGTATTGACAGTGTGCATGGGCGGCGGTAACACTTAACATTAGATGAGCCTAGTTGGCCCCCTGTTCTATAAAAAATGCTGTCAGCCACAAAAGGCTGATTTAGAAAAAAAATTAATAAGAACTCTATCTACCCACAGAATAGATATTTATATATAGCAGCTAAAACACGCCTTTGCGTATTTGCAGAAACCAGCTGATTATCTGTGTCCGCAAAACGTCTAAAATTTAATATTGTCATTTGAGTAATGCAACCAAAGATAAGAGAGGATAACTCGCCTAAGTGCATTAAACTTTCAACGTTGTCGTTAAAATTTCAAGTACCAACTGTAGAGGATTTAACGAACGACTAATTGACTAACTCGTGTGGTTCGAGATAAGATTAAGTGGCCTGTGACTAGAGTTACAGTTAATCCTTAACTAATCTCAAACCTAATGTTCCGTCTCTGATGGAACTCTATTAGTGGCCATAACAATAGTATATTGCAGCCTATGCGATAATAACTTTTATCTATTTCTCATTCGATATACTTAAAAAAAAGTTCGTGCGTACAAAGTACACATGTCAGAATTGAAACTTCTTTGGCGAACTAATTTCTTTCAATTAATTTATTAATTTTTTAATTCAAAGTCTTCTTCATATTTATACAAATCTAAAAATTTCCGAAACTTAGAGGGAGGGAAAAAGGAAGATATGTTAGGAATTTAATTTAAATTAAGTTCTAGTAAACTGTTCAGGGAGGTGAGGTTAATGTAAATGCAACGTAAAACATAAGTTTTGGGTGTCTTTGCTATGGTCACGGATTGTGTAAACTAAAATATCAGAGGTGTGAGAAAAACGAAACGATTGTTCGCTCCGTTAGATTGTGATTGGTCAAACGGACGTAAAAACATGACGTATCGTGTTAACGCGTATTAGACTAGAGATGCTGTTTTGTCTTTCTCTCAACTCTGTTATTTCGAGTTTGCACCATCCGAGACCATAGCAAAAGCACCCCAAAACTTTAGGTCAGTTAATTATATTGGTTGCCGCCGGAAATCTAAAAAAACGAGTTCTTTTAACTATTTTAATTAAAATAAAACTTAGAATTTAATCAAAAACGCTTCTTACATGTTTAGATTGTATCTTAATTCTAAGTAACTTATGCTAAAGTATCACACGGTCTTCATTGGGCCCAGTATGCACAACTTGACACCGTGGGGCGTGGAACCACTGGTTCTTAGGGCTAGGGCGACATAACAAGTTTCAAAATAAAAAATGCTATTATGCTACCTTTCACGTGCAGGTAAATTTAAATTTTCTATTATTTTATTGTTCGAATATTTTTGTATATGAAGTCACTAGCCTAATTTGATCAAGGTACTCTAAGTATGTTCGTAACTAGGTTAAGTGTAACACAATCCGATACTAATGGCCTGTGAGTAGCGTATTGCGTTACAAAGTCGACACTATTCTCGGCGATAACTCAATCACGGATTTTTCTCTTCTATATCCTGCTACGTGACTAGGTGATGGCAATCGTAGGGACTATATACACTTTATCGCTATTTTTTAAATCTATCTAAAGTGCAATTTGGATTAAGAAAACACAAAAATAACTGGTAGGTCTTTGAAGTAAATTAGATATATTGTATATAAACAGGAG